TACGAAGTTTTTTTATCTTTCTATTAAACGATAAAATTTAAAAACTATGTAATTTGATTGGTTAATTATCATGGAAATCACGGGTAGATCTACAAAAATTAACCAATCATACGAATGTCGGCCTATGAGGTGCACGCTATTTTGGGACGCGTGTGAGCGTTATTTTGAAACTATATTATTTTTAGGGTAATACCAAAAAAAATTATCAAAAATAGTTAAATAATATTTCATTCGTGCCTCAGGTGGTGATAACCGAGGCACCTCAGACGTCAGTCATCAAATGAGGTGCGTAATCTGTTTATTGGTCATTTGAGGCGCCTTAGATATCATCTGAGGTAAAAGAAAAATTGTGCCAGGTTATTGACGTTATTGTCAGATCAGATTTCTACTTATTACGTTCGTAAAAATCTCTTTTTGAATAAATATTTCCACCTTGTTTTGCCAACTTTGTAAATTTTCTATTTTTTTTTTCTAATAAAACTATGTAATACTTTGTATATATGTACAGACATTGTTACAGCAATTTCGAAAGTACGTATGGTTAACAAGGCTTTAAAATTTAGTTTTTAAAAGTGAGCTTCTTTTAAGTTAGGAAAGTGTTACTGTTATTTTTATTTTTTATTTTCTTTTGTTAAGATATAAATTAGGGTAGGCTATATAAAAGGCTTATAAATTGTGCAATATATACATATTTATTTTATTAGTTACCGGAGATATCTTTCTTTGACATTTATTTAAAATCATTATCCAAACTTTTGAAGCCATATTTCCTCATTATTTCGCGTATTTAATTAAGAACGTTGATGCATTGCCATTATCTGTTATTGTAACATGTACGTACGTACTCGAATTTATTAGCGATAAATCATTTAAAATTGTTAATTAGAATAATTTACTTTGGCTGATTTAAATTTATTTCGACATAGCATTATTTTTTGTTGAAATGCCTAAATGTTTGACAAAATAAATATTATATTACAGGTATATTTGTTAAAAAATAAAAAAGTTTTATAATAATAATTACCTTTTATATTTATAGTATATAGTTCTGATACAATAATGAAACCCGTTTCTTTACACCATTAATTCTGTATTTACTATTGTTCGTGCAATGTGATAATGATATGTAACATGTCATAATACGATAAATTAAAGTTGATTCAGAATTCTCTGTATATTTCTATTTAAAATATTAAATAATTAAATAGATTCTAAATCATTGAGATATTATTTTATCTTAACAAAATTTTTTTTATGTAAATTTAATTTAGACATTTCGGCATTTAGAATTTTGGCATGCTAAAATGTCGAAAGTTGAAATATTTCTACATAGCTTAAACAATTTCGACTAACAACACTAAATGACTCTAATACTTGATAATTATGTTGGAATTTTTATTATACCATTATAATTGCTAGAAAAACTAACAATATTCAAAATTCAAAAATTCAAAGTTTGTCAGCAAGTATACTAGATCAACATTGCTACGTATCTTGACTAAATACATTTTCAAGAATTATATAAAATTATATTAATGATTATATCTCATATTAGCACGATTATATTGAGCAATTCTATCATCAAGTTTTGATCTCTTCATATCAAATTCTTCCTCAGACAAATCACTACCATCAGATTTGTTTCCACAGCAACAACAAGGTTTACAAACAATCAACCTTGTAATCCATTTAAATAATTCATAAATAATAATATTATCATGATTTGCTTGCCAAATTTCTCTCATCCAATTTATAATATTTAAAAATGAAGTCATAATTATAGCAAGTATAGATACCATTAAAGTAGTTTTTGTAAATATTGCAGCATGTTTAACTGATAATGCTACTTCTGTCGCATCTTGTTGAGATTGAAGAATTGTTTGATTAACATCTCTTGATATTAATGATGATTTATCTTTATCTATTAACCCTGATAATAAATCATTTATATCTTTACCAGTAACATTATTAATCAGTGTTAATTTATCACATGCTATTATAATTGCTGTAATTATAATTAAACTTTGACTTAATATACCTAAATATTGATGAAATTTACCACCTAATTTTTTAACTGCTAAATTATGTTCATTAATTTTAGGTCGAAATATGTTAAAGAATTGAAATAATCCTCCAAAATAAATTGGTCCTCTAAAACTTAAAGGTATATTTCTTGCATTATAAAATATTTTATATAAAATAATTATAATAGTTGATATAATAGAAAAAATCATTTGTAAACTTGTTGTAGCACCTGAAATTTTTCCAATAGTTTGAATATCTCTAAAATTCCATTGTGTAATATTAAAAGATTTAATAAATAATTCATATAAGAAATTTGAAAATGATGTAGAGAGACCTAATAATGTAAGCCATTGCATTGCAAGTGCTGTATAGAATGTTAAACAAACTATTAAAATGTCTATCCTTTGTATTCTTAATGTAATTCGTTTTTCTTCGAGTTCACGTTGTTGTGGTGTAGATTTATCATATTTAAGGATATTAGATTCTATGTGTCGTTGAATACCAGATCTTTTTAAATTTTCTAATGAAGAATTAATGTTACCGCTAGACAAGGTATGTGGAATGTTTATTGCATGAATTGGTGGTGTTGATGGTGTTGATGGTATAGTTTCATTATTCGGAGTGACATGAGATGTTGAAGTTGATGGTACTGAGGGAGTAATAGTTTCTTTCCAAGACATTGTAATGTATTAATTATAAAGATTAATAATGTTGACCGAATATTTGAAAGAGAAAGAAAGCATAAACAAATTTATACGTGTATCGTAGAAAAATAACCTGTCTCATCTCTCACCGGTTTGGTTAAAATCTAATTAATTTAGTAATACGTGACTAATTTATTATGATAATTTATATAGTAGGATTATCTAATCGTGTTTCAGCGTCATGTTTTTTGATCAAATATTTCTTCTTTACTATAGGATTTTTTCATGTGGTCGATATGGTGATCTTAGTAATATCTTATTTAAGAATTCAAATCCGAAGCGCTATAAGTTTTTACATACGTACGTGCGTTTTAAAATTTAAAGTTATAATAATAATAATAATAATACAGTAATAATAATAATAATAATAATAATAATAATATATAATAATATATACTGTCTGATTTGTTTAAAAAATAGTTAGCACTGAATAAAAAAGACTGTAAAAGTGTATATATATATTTAATAGATTTAAAAACGCTTATATTTTAACGATTTATTCGCAATGTAATTATTACAAAAAAATACCATTAAAAAAAAAAAAAAAAAAAGGAAAACGCATGTGACAAATGTAGCAAATTTTAATGAATTATTAAATCAAATTGTCTAAATTGTTCAAATTATTTAAATTATATATCTACAAAAAATATTACTCTTTCTTATGCATCAGCCAAATCCTTTTTTTTTCTCTTTTTACTCAACATTCTATTAACAGCTTTAGCAAGTTTACCCCTACTCTTCTCATCAACTTTTTCATTATTACTATTGTAAAAAGTAGGACCCCGACATTCATTTTTAACTTCATAATACAAATTCTCTTTGCTAATTTTAATTTCTTCACTATATTTTACATCTGTACTTTTTCTCGAAGTGTCGGCCAAATTACCAATTTTTCCACTACTCAAGTTACCAAAATTACCAAAATTACTAAACCTTCCTTTTTTTTTCCCATTTCTTTCACTACTTCTAATTCTTGCAAAACTAAATTTTTCTTTTTCATTAGAAGCGTACCAAACACATTCTTCTCCATTCATCTCATTATCCACCTCTACTTTAATTAATGTATTAAATATAGCTTCTCCACATATTGGTTCTAAGTAATTCACCAGATCAGGTGATATAAAATTGTTCGTAGATCTATCGCAAAATACTATCATTGCTGTTGATGTTTTTATGCCAGTTTTATTTTTTGCTTTCATATTTAAGTTATTATTAAGTTTATTTTGATGATTAATTCCAGATTGATTGTTATTGGTAGTAGTAGTAGTTGTTGTTGTAGTTGTAGTGGTCACTTTAATCCGAGATTTTGTGAAATCATTTTCCTCATTACCAAATATATGAGAAGTTGGTTTTACGAAATTACTTACAGAAGAATTTTTATTTTGGTAATAAAGAGTGGGCTTTATGGATTTTTGAGGAAGAGAATGTGTTGAAGAAGAATTTGAAGCAAATTTATAAGGATGATTAGGATTTGTCATATTAGCGTGAGAGTCACTATAATTACTTCGAGATGTTGAATATTTAAGAAAAGAAGTTTGAGAGTTATTCATCATTGAATTATATAATACACCAGTACCTTCTTTACCATTTTTAAATTGCTGGGAACTTATTACACTATGACGATTATTACGTGTTTTTTCATGATCTTTTGAATAAGATGTGTATCGACAAGTATTTGCCAAATGGAATAACATAAAAGATTGCATGTCCACAATATGAGCATCATCATATTTTTCAAAAATTGAAGGTATTAGGTCTTGGTTATCGTCTAAAAAATAGGGATCAATTCTACCTTGTGATGAATAGAAAGAATCGGAACACGCACTTAAGCAAGTATATATTAGGGATGGATAGAAGGCAGCAGATAATTCTGATTGTAACTAAAAATAAATAATAATAAATAATAATAATTATTATTATTAATATTAGTATTAATTATTAATAATCAAATATTTATGATATATTTTATGATATATTTATAATATATATATATAGTATAAAAATCATCTTCTAAAACTTATTATTATACATACCAAATAATTCAATTCTTCATCAGCATAAGCAACTTTAGATATATAATAAGGTGAATCAACTATTGGCATTGCGTCATTTGTATCAACACCATGTATGAAATAGTCATAGTTTCTGGTCACCGAGAATGCACCGTACGGTACGAGTATATTACCTATCGTAGGAGTACCTATTGAACCACAGGAGCCAAAACGAATTATTATTATTTCTCCTGTTATTATTTGACGAACTTCACGAATAAAAAAGTCCATCATCACAGAACCCTTAAATTATTATTAATTAAAAAATTAAACATCCAGTAAGATAAAATTTTTTAAGAAACATTTAAGTAAAGATAATGAATTCATACCATAATGATAGAAACAATGCTAACAGGAACATTCTTATATCGACCAGTTATTGTAAGGAACCCTTTATTGGATTCGAAAACAAAAGGTTTTGGAGTTCGATCTAAGAGTTCTGCCATTTTTCGTGCACTTTCAGGATCTTCCACCACTAATATTCTATTTGCGACTTTTTTTTTTTAAAAAAAAAAACATTAAAGTCATTAAAGTTGAAACAAACTAGAGAAGTAATAATAATAAAAAAAAAGATAGTGTTAGTTAGTACCTTCTCCACGTTTCAGACCAATATAATAAACCCGGCCATCATCCGTTCTTGGAAAGTTCGCATTTCTCATTTGATGTTTCATATTAATAATCTGTTTCGTTTTTCGTTCGTTTAAATAGAGCTTTATGAAATAATGCTATATATCCGAATTCTTAATATAATTATTTAATAAGATTCGTGAATATAATATTTTAAACACTCGATACGACCTGCGAATATCGAGTTTTTTTTTACAATTTTTAAAAACTCAATTATTATGTAATTATGAAAAATACTATTTCGTATACTGTACACGCTTATAAATTATAGTATATTTCTAGTTTCTTAGCAAACTAACATTGCAAATAAAAGAATGATCATTAAAGACGTGTAATTTAGAAACAAATTAATTAATTAGACGATCTGTTTTTTTTTTTTTTTAAAAAAACAAGGTCTTTTGAACGAAAAACGAAAAAATTGTTACCATTCGTTACAATATTTATATTATGTGTATTTGTTATGCAAATGTTATAGGATGTCTAATTAATTAATCTACATTAACATTCAATAAGCTCACGTTACGCATTTAATGTATAAATAATGAGCCAGTAGTCATTGTTGGTAGTTCTAGACTAAAATAATTAGTCAATAAACTTTAATAGAACTAATCAGCTGTTAAATTCATTTGTTCACTCTTCTATTGGAATAATTATTTTTTTGAAACCCGGAACAAACAATTTTCTATAAAAAAAAGCATGTATTATTAAGTATTACAGAATATGATAAACAAACAAATGGGAAATCCCTAATATTATTATATTAATTAAATGTTTTAATATTCATACTGACCTAAAAATAAATCGTCGCGCGCAGGAAGCATTATTTATAATCTGATATAAATATGATATAAATATGATTGTGTAAAACTTTGTTTTTCTTAACTATAATCATAAAGTTATGTAATGGTAACAACCAGCTTTCTTTGATTCAAATCCTGAAATCTGGTGTTTGAATGAATAGAACCAATCATGTCAATATGAAATTTTATAACCTTTTGTAATAAAAGATCTACACTATGTAAAGACATTCGTTATTATCAAGGCTCTTGCATATAAATTAGTTTGAATAGAACTACGTATCAAACTACAGGTTTTTATAAAGATTTACTTTTTTATCAAATGATTACACAATAATGTAACTTAAATTGCTTGAATCGTTATTACATATTTAATACATTTTAATAGATCGAACTATAGCATTTTATCCCTGCATTTCCTGCAAAACAAATCATTTTTAGTCATTTTCTATTTTCATTGTAAAATAATTGGTTTTGGGTTGGCGGGATCATCCGATGATCAGATACTTTGATTTATGCTGTAACACTCCAAAGCCTCATTATTACTAATCAATGCACAATTAATGTCCCAGTAGTCACAAGACACGTTTCTTTTACATACGCACGTAATAAATGATCTTTGTATATATAAACGTCATGACTTTCGCATAAAAATTATTATATATTTCTATTTTTTATTCTAAATCTACACGTTTTAATCTTTATTCATGTCAGAAATATATAGATTTGGTAATTTATCTTATCTGATCAAAGGTTGTTGTTTTTTTTTTAAATATTAGTTTTAACCTTATTTTGATTTAAATACTGTAAAGAGTAGCAGAGGTCTTTGTCGATTTTTAACAGCTGCCTGGTGCATTGGGGGTGCGTCAAGTATAATCCAGGTTTGCATTAGGAGAGCATCTTTCTGCGTTGCGATACAAAAGTAAAATTTCCTATTAGATTATATAATAGGAAATTTTGCTTTTGTATTCGCAACGCAGA